TTCTGGCCTCTCATCTTGGTTTTGCCACCTATTTAACCAATGTGTCCTAGGTGATTTTCTTTATCTAAAAAAGAAAATTTTATATAATATGGATTATAATCCTCTAGCCTTATCATGTATGAGTTCCTACCAGTTCTTTGATCCCATTACCTCATTTCTAAGCCTCGTTCACTGTTGAGCAACCCTTGGCCAGAGCCAATGAGTACAAGCCCCATTTAGGAAACATTGATTATTTTAAATGACATTAAATGGAAGCATTAAATAGCGTTTATTTGAACATCTCCAGTTGTTATTTATAGATCAAATCTGCCATCATACCTTGTCATAAATAAATGGCATTGGCACTTAGTAGACCTTGAAGAAGTCTATTCCTTATTTTAATTCAATTATGTCTGCCTTGACTCATTTAGACAGTTTGACCTGAGTCCTAAGCCTAATAGGCAAAGTTCTGAGAATTAAATGGGAAAGAATTGGAGAAGGATCCACCAGAAACAGATACAATAGCAAATGGTAATTCCCTACATCCCATCTCTGTCTTATGTAACTATTAGTTCTTCATAGCTAGGCTATGGATGTTTGGTTCCAGATATGAAATGATAGATAATGTATTTTCATTAGAATGTATGTGGATATGACTTCATGTGCAATATAGTTACAATAGGTTGTTTCTCATTTTTTGTACCAAGTCAGTGGAATACTTAAACCACACTAAAGTTTTTTGCATTTTACCATATCTGGGACTTTTTTTTGGATGCTATCTACTAGTTACCATATTGAAAGTCAGAAGACATAAATTTCTACAAAAGTTTGACATTATTTATGCTATGTTAGTCTCTTTTCTGTCAATATGACAGAATTTTAACATTGTTTTTCTAATGAAAATTTTTTAAAAGCATGAGTTTATAATTTAAATTTGCATGTTTTATATATCAAATTAGATAATAATATTGAAAATGATATTAGCAATAATTTGCTTATATGCTTGTGGGAAATGTGAGTTTACTTCATTTGCTGCTTTAGTAGAGGTTACACAATTTAGAAGTCATTAGAGTTCCTAGAATTTATTTTTTTATTTATTCTAGAGTTCCTAGAAATATGGCTGTACTTCAGTATTGTATGCATCAATATTGCATAGCCTTTTCTCTATTTTATCTCTGGTTAAGACATTTAATATTTATGTGGGCTCACTCTGATGTCTGTTATGTGGTAGTGCCTGAATTGTCATAGGACATGATCAATTGAAAAATAAGACTTATAGAGTATGCTTATAAAATGTGTTTCTTAAACTCCAGGAACTTCTTTAACTCTGAAGATGATTGTTGAATAGAAGCATTATTAATACCTTTCAACAGTAGAGTCAGGTTATAGAAGATTTGAGAATTTTTTATATTTAAAAAAATCACATTTGCCTTGCTTTTATCGAGTAAGACCAGAGACCGTCTAGTACTATGTAGCATTCAGCAAAATGAATCAGAGTATAATGACTTACACAGTATTATGGTATGTTATAAAACACAGTTCCTTCTTATCTTCTGAGAGTCCCCAGAAGAAACCCTCTGAGAAATAATGGCCAGGTCATTTCACAGTGGTCTATAAATATGTGTATAATATTTCTTGATTTTTAGTCTCTTGACCAGTTTTCCCTGAGATTTTTCATTCACAATTCAGCTAAAAAAGGACATAATTATGACAAATTGAATAGGTTTTATATGGCAGAAATCTTAAGCCTGTTGAAACTTATAGGGATAGAAACACACATTATGCAAGTCTGAAAATAGTAATTTGAAAATAGTAATAGCATTTGTTAATACAGACAATAGTTAATTCCACATAGACTCCCACTCATAGTGTCTTTTCCCTCTTCCTCCCACCCCCATCCCATTTCAATACAAAACTACAGCCAGGGACTCTTGGAAGGGAAGAGGAAAGTCTTAGGTGAAGACAGCTGGATCATGGATTTGTACTTGGTGACTTCATATTTTCATTCCTTTGCTACTGAGGAAAGATGAAGCAGGCATATTTCAAAAGAACAGCTGACACTACCCATATAAAGTCAGTAATTACATGTCACTATAATTCTTTGGCATTTGTGGATCTTCTTTCACATGTTTATGGCAGAGGTCCAGTTTGTAGACTAAGCAAGAAGTGGGTGAGTATAGATTGGATATTTGCCCAATCTGCATGCTGAACCAGGTGCCCACCTTGTCTCTCCAGCTCTCTTCTTTTTTCCTTGAGTACAGCTGACTAGTGGATCCTTATTTGGTTGAAGTGGATAACTTAACCAACACAAGCAGTTAAATTGTGAATAGTGAACCTTATTGTCTTTAAACCTGATAATGATATAATTTATTTAGTACAGACCTTTTAGCTACAGTGTCTGGAGTTTTGCAGCACATTTTGGGTTCGTGGGTAAGTCAGTAGCTGGACAATTTCTTTAGAACACATTACTGCTTGGAAAGGAAAATCTAGGATATTTTTAAAGTTTCTGTATCATTTGTTTGGCTCACATAGATTTCCTTTTTATATATAAGGAAACTAAACCTGGAAAGAAGTCTTTACTGTCTCTGTAGGTGGGAAACATCTGATAGTCTTTTAAATTTTTAGAAACTTGAAGGTTTTATTTGGTTAGTTTTTGTAGTCAGTGGAGAAACCTTTTAGGTGATAAAGGACTAAGATAAACTTCTAAATTATTTATATTCAATCAGCTGTCTGCTGATATTTGGGATGAGTTAGGAGAGTGTCTAGAATAGGTACAATATATACTAAAAAGCAGTGAAGCCTGGACCGTTCCAGATTACAAACACTTCTGTCAGTATCATTTAACCTATTTGGTTATTTCAGGTGTCCTGACTAATGAGGTAAAATTAAGAGAAGTTGGGTACAACAAAAACTTCCACTTTAGAGGTACTTGTGGACATAGAGAAATGACTTGAGCCTTTCATTTTCTTATCATTTTGGACTGGGATTCCTATGCTATTGAGAAAGTGGGCTCTTCAAGTAGTCTTATTCTTTAAATCTGTGTTTTTAAAGTACAGGGTGAGCTCTAGTAACATTTTGTTTTTGAGGTAATTAGCTAGTCATGAACTCAGATAAGGAGATTGTGACCAATTTTTTCTTCACTTACACGGAATAGAATAAAACACAGTTTTATACTAGTTCTGTAGAATACTAGCATTGGTGTTAGCTAGGAGCTTGTTGAAAATACAGAATTTCAATTCCCAACCAGACTTCTGTGTTAGAATGTGCATTTATCTGCATTGTAATATGATCCCAATGTTAAAGTTTATAAAACTTTGAAATAGAAAATAGTAAAAGCTTTTTACGAAATAAAAAACACGTTCATTAAATGATTGTTTCAGTGTTGTTTTTGTGTATTCATGTGCATACATAAGGTACCAGCTTGTACCTTACAAAATGTGTGTGTGTGTGTGTGTGTGTGTGTGTGAAGAGGCAAGGTCTGGCTCCACTCAGGCTGGGGTGCAGTGGTGTAGTCATAGCTCAACAATCTCAAACTCTTGGACTTCCTCCTGCCTTAGCCTCTCGAGTAGCTGGGAATACAGGCATGCGCTGCAATGCCTAGCTGATTTTTTTTTTTTTTTGTAGAGGCAGGGTCTTGCTATGTTGCCCATGCTGGTCTCCAACTCCTATCCTCAAGTGTTGCTTCTGCCTTGGCCTCCCAAAGTGTTGGGAATCTGTGAGCCACCACACCTGGTCCTTAAAATGTATTTCTATGGGGTATAGTTAAAGAAGTTTAAAATCTACCGTTTTAAATGTGGATAACATCAGATTGCTGGTGGTATTCATACCACTAACTGTGAGAGAGCTATCCTTGCTTGGCATTTGACATCGTCTCTAAAGTTTTATTTGTTTTTTTCTATGCCTCTCCTTCTCTTCTACCTCACCTTCTTCTAGTTGTCTCTTATATGTCTGTTTCCTTCTTTGTATATAATGTACTTCAGGCCTCAAAACTGTACTCACTGCTGTGAAAACGTTTTTCTCACGTTTCAGTTTGTGGTCAGAGATACTTGATTTAATGGAAAATTAATGCTTAATCATCAGGATTTTTCTTTTTTATGTCCTAGAACCAAATTTGAAGAAGGAATAATTCACAGTTTACCAGTGTGCTTTTCTCCTCCATTTGTTACGTCTTCCAAATGTCAGATGCTGCAACATCATTTTGTTTTGGATATAATCAAGTCACTCATTCTTTGTGTGCAAATGTGCACAACATATTTTAATAAAAACCAGTTTTAATTTCAAAAATATGTAACACTGAAGTCTCACTTCGTATTCCCAGTTGTATTTTTAAAAAGCAATTATAGCTTTAGTTTACCATATACTTACCTAGCCCAGTATGGGCCAGGTAGAAGAAGTGAACCTCTGTGCTACTATTAAGAGACATACTAATTTCCTGGAGTATTGACCAAAAATAGAGAAAAATCTTACCATTTGTGCTTAGTGTTTGTTCCTTTGACCAACAATATGCAGTTCAACTTACTACAGATAAGCAGCTTGAAAAATATATTCCTTCTTTTCTATGGCTCTGAGACTACAACTAGTGAACAGCAAGCAATGTCATGTCAGATTTTTCATTTGGCTGTCAATAGCAAACTTTAACCATTTCATGTCACACAACCACATATTGGTTGCTCTTGATCTCACTTCATCTGATTATTCCATTTAACCTATACTTTGTTTTAAAGGGCCTTAGCAGTTAGTTTTATTTTACTTTAACATGGAAAAATTACAGGGGTGCTCCAGAAAAGGGGGAGAAATATAAAATTTTGAAAGCCCTAACCTTGAAAATTTAGGGCCTTGTTATTACACATCATTCTGTGTATTGGTTATATCAGATAGTATGTACAGCAGAATTTCAAATGATTGCTATTTTTTTAGTTATTTTTATCCATACTCTATAACAGTATGATTTACATGTATTTGTTAATGTTATATGAGTTTTTCTCTAATTTTTTGTGCATTTTCCCCCCTTTTCCATGAAGGCCTTATCTCTTTGGAGCGGGGTGTTTTTCCATAAAAGCTCCATGGTGAGTTCCAGTTCAGTCCCGCATGCCTAATTCATTTGCTGTACTCTCAAAAAGTAACTTGTTTTACAGTTTTGTTTTCAGTTGCATGGCCTGATTACAGATAGACGCACCAAATGACTGAATAATGTGTAGATGGAACATGAATGTTAAGAATTAAACTTTTTTTAAAAAGCAGTTTATTTGGTTTTACTTCATTCTTTGAAAAGTAAAAGAAAAACCACAAATGAATGTTTCAAAAAAGAAGATAGAAGAATTCTCTCATAATGTTTGTGCATATTACAAGACAAAGGTGACACACAAGTTGACAAAGGTGATATGCACAGTGTTTAAGGACATGATTTATTTTGAAATATAAATATATTTAAGGTATATCAAATGCACTATAAAGTTTTGCTGCATTTTATTTGGTCCTAAAGAGACAACAATCAGTTCTGTTTTGAGTAGTTTAGGTAATCAAGGAGCTACATGATGATGAAATATGTTTCACATAAAAACTCCTAAATCACTTATTGTTTTGAATAATTAGCACCTACTCACAATAACTTAATTATTTAGTAAATTGTTTCATATCAGTGCATAGAATACAATTTTGCCAGGCTTAGGCATGATGATCATAGAAAAGAAAGTATATTTAATACCATCATGTAAAGATGTGAAATGGAAAGAATTTGGTATAAAATGTTTAACGGTTAAGAGTCAGGGCTCCAGAATCAGACTTTTGGATCTTAAAGCCCAACTAATACACTTATTAACTATATGAACTTGAGGAATTTTCCAAAACCTTTCTATTTTTTTGCTTTCCTTATCTATTAAATGCATCTACCTCATGATGTTGTTATGAGGATTAAATTGATTTATATGTATGTATATATTAGTATGTAACTGTGCCTGGCACATAGTAAATGCTCAATAAATGACTTCTTTAAATTAGATCATATTTTTTGTTTTAAAGAGTATGTTAGCCAAAGGGAAAATTTAAGAAATATAACGTTTATCATTTTTATTAATTTAGTCAGAATACTTAAAAGAGTTCTGCACATATATGTGTAGTTCTTTTTACCGGTACTGGGAATTGTTCATATTCTCCTATTATAGTAGAAAAATAATCCACCCTTTTTTCTTTTGAACAAAGAGATGCTCAAATAATTCTTTAAGGTTGATTATCATTTGAAACACACTAATTTGTTTATATACCATAGGAGCTTCGAACATTTTATTATCATATAAGAATAGGTGACTTAAATCAACATAAAATTTTCTCTTTTGACAATTATAAGTAGGATGCAGTTTACAACAGAATATTCTAAACAAATTCAGGGTATACATGGGTATAGATCTCATGAAAGTCAATCTTTATCCATTTCGTAAACCAGGTTTCTCCTAAAAACCATTAAGATTCATGGATCTTACGAGTTTATAGTGAACAGTGAATTTTAAATGCCACATTCAACATGTGACAAATTTCTTTTTAGGCCAAACTTAGAATTAAATTCCTTGTTAGGATAAAATCTTCCTTCTACGTACAACTAAAAAAGTTTTAGTATGTCAATAAAGACTGAAGTTTGTGCATAGAAGATGGAGTAACAACTGTTGCATGTTAAATAAGAACGTTCATTCCTCCAACAGCTTATGTGCTCCTCACATTTAAGCAAAAGCTCTTGTCAACCCGAAATGATTTGAGGTTGAAACAAGATTAAAAGAGCCAGATTAAAGAAAGGGATATATGAAATATGGTTGACTTTTAAATCATTGCCTGTCTTTTAGAAGACTGCTTTGTGGTTTGTTTGATGCCATCGTTAGCTCACAAGAAACTCGTTTTTAGTCACTTATACTAGACGAAAAGGTCCTCCTTTAAAATGTTACTTTACCAGTGGTGCATGTTTTTTCCATTAAGTTCTTAATGAAACCTCAAATTAAGGCAGCAAAATGAATATAAATTTGACAACTTCTATGTTGTTTATAAGAGCTCCTTTGTTTTCATAGTTTTTGCTATTTTTCCATGTTATTTAGCATTCAACCTGAGAATGATTTTATTTACTGTTCTGAATTAAAACATTATGCTAAATAAATAGTTTATAGTCTATCCAGTTGTGGGGTAATATATATGTATTTTAGATGACTCAAATTTTTACAATTCCCCTTAAAATGAAATGTACATTTCTTACTAATTTTATCTTAGTTTAATTTAAGTTGCAACATTTATACTTAGCTATTAATTTGTTTTTGGTATGTCACAATTTCTAATTATTTTCTAATTCTAATTATTTTTTTCTTCTAATTTCATGCAATTTCAGATGAGTCAGGTTTTTTTGTTTGTTTGTTTTTGAGTTCGAGCCTCACTCTGGTGCCCAGACTGAAATGCAGTGGCATGCTCACAGCCACCTCAGCGTCAACCTGCTGGGCTCTGGCAATCCTTCCGCCTCAACATTCCAAGTAGCTGGAACTACAGGCATGAGCTACAACGCCCGACCAATTTTTTGATTTATTGTAGAGATGGGGCCAAGTTGCCCAGGCTGGTCTCGAACCCATGGGCTCAGGCAATCCCCTCACCTCGGCCTCCCAAAGTGCTGAGATTACAGGCTTAAGCCAACGTGCCTGGCCTGGAAAAGTTAATTTTAAAACAAGGTCTTTCTCTTTGATTACACAGTGAGCTCACTGGAAAGTAAATTATGCAATCCATCTTCAACATTTTAGTCCCTTTAGACTTCCCTGGTATTCTGAATCCTCTAGGTTAGTTTCACAAGGATATTGAAGTTTAAATAACTGTCAAATAATGTAAAAGAATTACACGTGTAACATACTTTTTCAAACATAGGAATTTAAGAGAAATAATTCATTGTAAAATTTTAAAACTGAATTTTGCTTTCAATATTATACATATGTAACAAGAATTTATTGAGCTCCTAATGTGCATGTAATATTGTATTTAAGCTGTTGTTTTTGAATTGCATATCAAAAAATGTATACAAAGCAGATAGACAATAGGTAGTCCATATGAATATATCCCTTCCTTGTAAAATGTCTTCCTATTATGTAAGGTTAATTTTAGAGAATTAACATTTACACATCAAATTACATTTATAGTTTTAGTTAGCATTCTCTAAGAGTGTTGATCAGTGTATAAATGGTTCATGAAAACTAATCTTATTCTCTTGAGAATATTTCAAAATTTTAGAATTTCATATTTTTAAAAGGTAAGATTTATATGGGGATGATAATTTTTTCTTACCTGCCAGATTTATATAAATCTGTTATATCTTTAAGAGTAACTTGTGATAGAATAGAATAATTTTAGATAGATTATTAATATCTTTATTTATTTTAAATACTGACCAGACACTGTGGCTTACACTTGTAATCCCAGCACTTTGGGAGGCTGAGGTGAAAGAATTGCTTGAGCCTAGGAGTTTGTGACCAGCCTGGTCAACATAGCAAGACGTGGTCTCTACAAAATGTTTTAAAAAATTAACTGGGCATGGTGGTGCGTGCCTGTAGTCCCAGCTACTCAGAAGGCTGAGGTAGAAGGATCACCTGAGCCCAGGTGGTTGAACATATGGTGAGCCATGACTGTGCCACTGCACTTCAGCCTGGGTGACAGAATGGGACCCCAACTCAAAGCAAAACAAAATAAAGCCTTTCGTTTTCTTTCTCCTCATGGATCCTATTTTAGAAAATAAAATTGAGAGTGAAAGAAAACTTGTAAAAGAATATAAAGAAAATTTTTTCTTCATTAGCAGAAAGTCATTATACTACTCGTAATTCTTACATCAAAGTTTAAGATCCAATATTGACTGGAAATATTCTCTTATGTTTTAGAAAGGGAAAGAAATGGTGCTTCTATCTCATCTTAGCTCCTTCCATGCTTGTGTCCGTCTAAACAACGCATTGGACCACATTGCTGTTTATCATGTCATCCACAGACACACCACATACATCCTGTTCTATGGTACATAGTAAAATTATGTAGATGGAGATCATTGTCCTATACTTTTTAATCAAATATCATTAGAATTTCATATTTTTTTCTGATTGCAGTTGACTATGGGAAAAAACCAAGCAAGAGAAATTCAATTATGTTGATCTGACTGGATTTTCTAAAACCTTAATAGAGCAAAGGCCAATGGAAGAAAAATTGGGAACTTCTTTGTAAAGTTCCTATGTAAATGTTTTTAAAGTCTAGTAATGTTAATATCCTACAACTTCTTCTGGCGAAAATGATTCTCATTTTATGGATAGATGGTTAAGCATTCTCTCAAGAAATGGCAAAGTGTTAATTAAAGTCCTGATTTTTAATTTAGCACCTTATCTGTTTATTTCATTCGTTGGTTTTGGGGTGATTTTTTTTGCATATTTTGCTTGTATATTTGTTTTTATCTTGATTATTTTCATTTGTATCAGGTTTTATAATCATCATTTTTCCTGATATGGTAAAAGTTGGAATCATTCTATTTTTCTTTTATTTTTTGCCCAAAAGTTAAGCCAGATTTAAAAATTTTTGAACATGGAATAATTTATGAGATGCTAGGGGGAGCAAGTGTTAATAGTAGGCCAATCAGTATGTTTTGTTCTTATGTATAAAAATTTTAAAACATGAATGAGTCCACATAATCAATACAATTAAACTTCTGAACACCAATATAAGTTGGAATATAAATTATTTTTATATCATTGTACTATTAACTTTATGAATAAATAAATTCTCAAATTCTTTTTATACTTGCAAATGTTCTGTAATGAGATTTTTAAATACCCTTTTTAGAGGAGAAAAGGAGATGTTGGCAAGAAGAGAGAAGCAGGTTAGGTTTAGAGTGCTTTTCTATGAGGAGTAGGTCAATGTTTTATCTTTTTGACAACAAACAATTATTTTATGATAAAAATATACTGAATCCTTATGGAAAAGTTCATATGTGGTATGTCGCTGACACACCAAGTACAAAAGCAATTCTGCTTCTACAAAACTTTCCTGGACTTGGTCTTTGTAAAACTTAGCCCAAAGGACAAATTGAACAAAAGTTAAAATTTTGAACTTTGGGTGCATCACATAGAAAATATTTTATTAATAGCATTTTTTTTCATTAGATTTTCCTCCCTTTTATTCCTCTACAAGTATTATACATACATGCACGTATATTTTTATGTTTCTGTTTTGCTTAAATACCACTCTCTTTCCAAATGTAGATTGATGATAGAAATAACTTGATAGGAATGTGTTTTTCCAATATGTTCAATACCCAATACACAGCAGTATGTCGTGTAGCAGGTAGCAAGTTCTTTTTTTTTTTTTTTTTTTGAGTTGGAGTCTCACTCTGTCGCCCAGACTGGAGTGCAGTGGCCGCTCCCAGCCACCGCAGCCTCGACCTGCTGGGCTCCGGCGATCCTTCCGCCTCAGCCTTCCGAGTAGCTGGAATTATAAGCATGCGCTACCACGCCCGGCTGATTGTTTGCTTTATTGTAGAGATGAGGTCTTGCTGCCCAGATGGGTCTCTAACCCGCGGGCGTAGGCAATCCACTCGCCTCAGCCTCCCAAAGGTGTGGGATTACAGGCTGAGCCACCGAGCCCGGCTGGTAGCAAGTTCTTTTCAGGAGGAAAACTCTTTTGATTCCTTATTAAACACAACTTTTAATAATGGTATTTATTAAGAGCCAACCAGAGGATAAAGAAGACATGATGAAATATAAGAATAAAATGATAATTCTTTACACAGATTAAGCATATTTTTACTATAAAATACTTATTCTCTGTAGGAGATAATGACCTTATGTAAATGATCCTTTGTTGATGATTTCTACTTGAGGGCTCCAAAACTGAATTGTGTATGGCTTATCGATGTGTAGGAGATTTTAGCTTTTGACATGGTCTGGTTAGACTCTAAGCTAGTAAACATAAAGAATATATTTTTGTATGTCCAAAGACTAAATTGATGTCCTATCATTTTTATTCTCTTTATTATTATGTTAGAAAGGAAGCCATCTGACCCAGAAGCAACTATTTTAACGTCTATTTAGAATGCATACTTTAGAGGAACCATATTTTCTCTTAAGAAGTGATATACTCCACTTGTTACTTTCCACATGATTTAAAAACAAAAACAACAAAAATCACATCCAGTAATTTGCAAAGGGCTTTGAGTTTGCCCCCGTGGAGTCTATTGGTGCGTTGTAATATTGTTCTCTGATGGCTATTCAGTAAAAGCACATAGTCACATAATTGCAAATTACTTCAAAAAATTTTAGCATGGTTTTCTCTTTCCTCCTTGGCCCCAGCCTCCCAAAACCTGTAAGGGTTAAAAGTGACCAATGATACTTCAAAGATGCCAGTTACAGGAACTTGTCAGTTCAATTATTGTAGTTCAGTGATGTCAATAAAAGCTTTGAAGGAAAACTTATATTCTGAGGTAATGCAACAGAGAGCCTCATAACCAGAAAGAACAATTCGGATGCCAGTGACCCAGATATTGAGGCAAGGTGCATGTTTGTTCAGGTGTGGGAGAAAGGAGTCTTTTTTGACGATGGTTTATTGCAGTTATGACAGATGCACTATGAAGAAGTGAAAGTGTTAGCAGAACCAAATTCATTTCCTCACAGACAATTTTATTGAGAAGTATGTCTTTATTCTCTATCACTGGAAGTCTACTGTGACTGGTGTTGGTATTTTAGGCATGGATATTATTTGTTTTGTGAACAATGTGAAGTGTTTTAAGAAATGTTGATGATAGGAGAGGGGATTTTTTTTTGTATATAGCAATCTACATTACCGTGTATTTTGTTCAAAAAGGGGAGACCAAAGGGACCGACCGATCATAGTAGCCACTATCCATACTTTTTGCTTTCCTTAGAGGAAAGATGTAAAAAACAGAAGGCTTGGGAAATAAGATTCCTGAGAGACTATTTCAAGTGTCGTAGGAACTGCAAAACAGAGATTAACAAAGCAAAGTCTGAATTTTTGGGAAGTTAGCTGAGGTCTGTGGGCTATATAGTAGAGTTAATGTTTGCAGCACCGTAACATGGGAAAGCGCTGCCCTGGGAATTTTACTTGCTTTGTCTGATACAGTGACTCTCAAAGTTGAGCATTCAGAATCTCGTGTAGGGTTTGTTTAAATATTACGGATTGTTGGGCTTCACCCCCAGAGCTTCTGATTTAGTGCGTCTGGGATGGGACCTGATTAGCATTTGCTTGCATTTCTAAGAAGTTCCCAGATGGTACTACTAGCTAGTGTCCATACTTTGAGAACAATATAATCCTTAAAATAACCCTATGAGGTAGGCATTACTACTTATATTTGACATTTTAATAATCTGAGAGAGCTCTGAAAGGTTAAATAACTTAGCCAGAAGTCACACAGCAAATAGGTGGCAGCATTGGGATTCATATTCTTGTTCCTGACTCCAAAACTATCTCTATTTATCCCACCATACTTTATTAATATATAAAGGGATAAAGAAAAATTAGCAAAGGAAGGTAGAAATAATGTTGTTTGATATTGGAGACTGATTAGCAGAGGAGACCATCAGAGCTCTAGTTTCTATTGTATCTCACCTGGGCTGTGATGTTGACCAGTGCAGTGAGACTATTCTCAGTTCCGATAATTAGAGAAAAAATAATTCGTCTAAGGTGGTTGCCAAAATTGCTAATGAGATTTGAGAAACCCTTGATAAAGCAAAAGAAAACAAAATATGGAATTTAAAAGAAAATGAAAGGTTGATATTAGAAGTTGAGGTTATGAAAACTTATTGGCAGAAAATAAAGAGAAAAGCAACTCCTTTTTGTTGACAGTTATTGGAAGTAACAGCAGTTAGTGAATGTATCCTCAGACCTCAGACATACAAAAAACAGAAAAGGTATATAAATAAGAGGCTATCTGTTGAACTCTGCCTTGGTCTTTTTCTCGGACCAAAAGTAGACACATCATTTTCACAAAACCAAGAAAAAATTAAATAGCAGATAGGAAAATCAGTTTGTATAATTATATTAGATCATTAACTATCTTCCCCATACTTTGTTTAATTCTCCATAGCATTGTGGCCAAGAGCATTTTCAAGGTTTCATTCTATATCTTCTCATTTTCACACATGCTGTCATCATTCATTTGAATTATTAATCTCAAGTTTTACATATCCAAATGAAATGATGAACCAGTTTATTAATGTGAGATGTTTATTCTAGTACTATTGCTCCACTTTGAAATCACCAGGGAAATGTTATCCATCTGAAAAGAAATGACTTGGATTTTGCCAGCACATACTTCAAAAAGGAGTTAGTTTATTTTTTTATTTTTAAAATTAGAGACAGGATCTTGCTCTGTCACCCAGGCTGAAGTGCAGTGGTGTGATCATTGCTCACTGCAGCCTCAAACTCCTGGATTCAAGCAGTTCTCCTACTTTAGCCTCCCAAGTAGCTAGGACTATGGGTATGAACAACCATACCCAGTTACTTTTATTTTTTATAGGGGCAAGAAATGAAGTGTCACTCTGTTGCCCAGCCTGGTCTCGAACTCCTGGCCTCAAAGTATCCTTCCACCTTGGTCTCCCAAAGTGCTGGGATGCTAGGCATGAATCACCATGCCCGGCCAGAAATGTAGTTCATTTTTGTTAATTTTATAATGTGCTCTCCTGACAAGACTGTGAAACTTTGAACTAATTTTACTTTTATTCCCAAATATACTTTCACATCACCAGTTATTACTTAAGGCAAAATGCATGTTCATATTGGAGGATTTGAATAATCAGGATGGAATTTAAAAGAGAATCTGTCATGTAGAGGATTGTCATTTCACATGGTAATTTTTTTTTACTGTTATTTTATTTTTAAGCAAAGTTAAACCTCCTCCGCAAATTTCACCCAGCAAATCAATGGGCGGAGACTTTTGCGTGGCAGCTGTCTTCGGGACATCCAGGTCCTGGTTTGCAAATAATGCAGGTCTGAAAAGAGAAAAAGGTATGTGTGTCTACTGAAAAATAAAGATTCTGTTTATAAGTTTTTACTCCTTAAGGAAAATTGATAGCAGTTCCTCTAGAATAATAACCAATTTTTCCATGTAATTACCGTATTTCTCCTTACCCACTCAAGTTTTGTCAAGAAATGGTGTCTTTTCACTATAAATATGAAACAAGTTGCCCATTGAGTGATTTTGTTTTGTTTTATTGGTGACAATCTACAAATGATCTCAATTCTACCAGTTCCATACCTATTTTATAACTTACATTTTTACATACTAGTTTCACACTATTGTCTATGAAGTGTGGAGAGGAAACCCTTTTTATCTCTGTTTTAGAGATGAAGAACTTAAGATCAGCAAGTTTAAATATCTTACCTAAAAGCACTAGTTAGTAGGTGATGAAATCAGAGTTTGAAACCAGGTTTTCTAATGTTAAATCTTTACTTAAAAAAAAAAAACTGCAACCCTGCCATGTTTTTAAAACATGATTTTAAAAAAGTAGCATCCTGCCTCTGAGAAATAAATGTCAACTTTTGTGGTTATCATTGCTCCTTAGAATTATGGGGCATACATTACAAGACCCCAGTGGATGCCTGAACCTTGGATAGTACTGAACTCTATACAGTACTATGTTTTTTCGACTTAGTAACTGAGACAGCTACTAAATGGCTAACAAGCTGATAGTGTTATATAGTGTGGATATGCTGGACAAAGGGATGACTCGTCTCCTGGGCAAGACGAACAGAACAGCAAGAGATTTCATCACGCTATTCAATGCACAATTTGAAGCTTATAAATTGCTTATTTCTGGAATTTTCCATTTAATATTTTTGGACTGCAGTTGACTGTGGATAACTGAAACCACATATAAGGGCGAACTACTACAGTTATTATTGTGTAAATCTCGACTTTGATCACCAGAATCAGTACCTAAAATGTTTATAACATTAATGTTTTAGTATGTGATCCCTTATTGTTTCTGTATAGAAAAGAGTGCCTCATTTATAAACCAAGTATATACTTTTTAATGTTATGATTTTCCCTTATTATTTTAGTATTATTAAAGTGGGTCACAAAACTGAGTTGTTACTGGGACACTTCTCTGGTGAGTTCCACAGGCTGTATTGTTCTTGGCAAAATGGCTCTCCTTTATGCTTAATACTGGCAGTCAGACATCAGCCCTTTCTCCTGTTATCGCCTTTCAGTGACCCTTTCTTTGGTAATAGGATCTCAAGCACAGCAGGTTCCTTACCTAAGTGGGAGAGGATACTGTAAAGTATGCAAGCCTTCCATTTCCTTATCCCATCTCTATTTTTTTGTTGCCTCCTTAGGTTTAATGATGCTATCGAAAGGACTTTTTGTTACTAGTTAAAACCTCCTGTGAAGCTCGATTTCAAATGCTTCTACCTTCTGTTCTAATTACCCTTTTAACTTGCTATTCCTTTATGTCCCACTGACTGGTCATTAGCCATTTTCTCAAATCAGCTGTAATTGATTCGTCTGACATAGAGATAAGATGACCCACCCACCATTCATGAGTGATTTTATATGCTCCTAGGTTTTCTGTAAAACCTGAGATAGAGGACTAAACCTGTTTTGGTAGTGAGTACATGTGTATTCCTTATAAAGTCAGTTGATTAGATCCATATTCAGCACCTGACTTCTCAAAGTATGACTGATCTTCACTTACCACAGGGGACCAGTGATCCCATTGAGAGAAAAAAAGAGAATTTGGGGCAAGTGTTTTGTGTGTGTGTGTGTGTGTGTGTGTGTGTGTGTGTGTGTGTGTGTGTGTGTGTGTGTGTGTTTAATGGACTATTTTTAGGGTTACAGCCAAACTGAGCAGAAGGGACAGAGATTTCTCATATATTTGCTGTCCACACACATGCAAAGCCTCCTCCATTATCAATATCCCCCTCCAAAATGGTATGTTTGTTTCAACTGTTGAACCTACATTGACATATCATGTTTTTTCTTTGTTTTTGATCCAGATCTATAAATTTTAAATTTGAGTTTTCTAAGACAAAATAAGTGAGACTTTAGGCTGATTTAGACATACAAATAGCCTTTATGAAGTTCACTTGGTATATCCAGGCAACTAAATTTTAGTCCATATATATTCCATTTCAGTCATTTCTTCCCTGTCCCACCTGATATCATTCATTTTTTTATAATGTGGGACAAGTTATAAGTTACATGGTAGACAAATACAAAAGACTGTAAAATATTGATTTCACTACATTGGGATTTGGGGCAAAGTTATATCATTGTTGAAATTTGAAAATTTACATTCTTGAGATTTGAAAATATTTTAATAGCATAGAGACTTTATTATTCATTAATATATACTTACATGAGGCAACCTTTAGGTAAGGAGCAAGTGCCATATGAAAACATTTCTTTCTTTTCATTTTCTAAGTAACTTGTAAAAAATTATGCTGTGCTCCTTTTATGCCATCATCACACATTGATGTTTTGTTTCTCTGTTTGTAGATCAGTCCAAACAAGTTGTAGTTGAGTCCCTGTACATTATCAGTTGCTATGGGACCTTAGTGGAGCACATGATGGAGCCGCGACCCCTCAGCACTGCCCCCAAGATTAGTGATGACACTCCACTGGAAATGATGACATCACCTCGAGCCAGCTGGACTCTGGTTAGGTAGTACCTCCTTTTCTTTCTTCTTTTTAACAGTTTTATTGAGGTATAAGAGATGTAAAGTATATAATTTGGTAAGTTTTGACATGCATACAGCTGTGAAATAACCCACAATTAAACATATCTATCTTGTACCCCTTTGTAATCTCTCCTTTTACTCCTCTTTATATTTATGGTTTATAGTTTCTAGAATTGTATTTAAGTGGACTCATACAGTGTGTATTCTTTTTTTTTGTCTGACTTATTTAATCCAGCAAAACAATAATTCATTACTTTTTCATAATTTACATACAATAAAATTCCCCCATTGAAAGTGACTTTTTGAAGTTGTGTACCCTTCACTACATTTTCATTACCCCAAAAGAAACTCTGTGCCCACTAGCAGTTACTCCCTGTTCTCCCCCAAGCCTCAGGCCTCAGCCCTAGACAACCACCAATTTAATTTCTGTCTCTATGAATTTACCTACTCTGGTCATGTCATGTAAGTGAAATCATACAGTATGTGATCTTTTATGTCTGTCTTCTTTCGCTTAGCAGGTTTTCAAAGTTCATGTTGTAGCATGTATCAGAGCTTCATTCCTTTTTATGGCCAAATAATACTCCATTATGTGGTTATACCACATTTTATTTATCTATTTATTTGTTGATGCATATTTTCACTTTTCACCTGCCATTAGTAATGTTACTATGAGCATGAATGTACAGAATTCTGTGTGGACATAGTTTTCCAATTGTCTTGGGTATATATACCCTGGAGAATACCGCCATTTGAACTTCTTTCTCCTTGAACTTTTGTATTACCTTTTCTTGGACTCACTGAAAATGGAGAGTAGCGTTGAGACAGCCATTAAGAGGAGTAGGAACTAATATAAATAGATTTGATGGTTTCTCTTAACATGATTTTCCAAGGACACAATGGATAAGCACTGTAGAAATGTTTATTAAAAATCAGAGTCCGTCTCAAAAGTGTATAATGATTAGAATCTTTATAAGCTAGCATAAAGAGGGGAAAATGAAACCTGGAATAAAAGCTGCTTAATACAGTTCATCGTCCAGGAGAGCAAAAATTACTCCTGACGTGTATGGAAGGAAACAGACAAAAATGGATATGAAAATAATCCCTATCCTTTTGTCATTTAAAAATATTCTTGTATTGATTTTTGGAGACGCCAGGATTCTTTACTACTATTTTACTGTGTTAGGTTGATCTGATCAATATCTGATTTATCAAGCTTATTTAGGATTGGGCAGATCTAATTAAAATTACTGCACTATCATTGTTGAAATAGTGGCTTATTTTGGAACTTAGATGTTAATTTGATCTATCATAAGTTATCCATTTACACAACTGTGTTTTATTAACCATTTTAACCTGCTTCATTTTGTTTTAAAATACACCATATTTTAAGAATAGAGAGGTCAGAACTTACATAAAATGAGAAGTACTTATTGTAGCATTTCAATTCTACACTTTGTCTCAGTTTAGTCTTCTGAATGTTTTGTCTTTCCTGTTGGAGGGTCTTCTGCTGTTAAGCTAATATTGACTCAATGTTATTTTGTTATGTGCATGAAACACTGCCACTTTTTTGTTCTTAAAAAGCAGATGGCCTCGTGTTTCAGGTTTCAGCACATTTATTTTAATGATTACAAGTTCACTTTAATGTTCACAAAAATAGTGTGAGTTTAAATCAGTGTTCATCAGCCAGGCTCGGTGGCTCAGCCTGTAATCCCAGCACTTTGGGAGACTGAGGTGAGTGAATTGCCTGAGCCTGCGGGTTCGAGACCTACCTGGGTAACTTGGTGAGACCTCATCTCTACAATAAATAAACAAATTAGCTGGGTGTGGTAGTTGTGCGCCTGTAGTTCCAGCTACTTGGAAGGCTGAGGCGGAAGGATCGCCGGAGCCCAGCAGGTTGAGGCTGCGGTGGCCAGGAGCGGCCACTACACTCCAGACTAGGTGACAGAGTGAGACTCCAACTCAAAAAAAAAAAAAAAAAAAATCAGTGTTCATCAATGACGACAGTCACAGTCATTTACATTCTATCTATTAAGCTTAAATATTAATATTCTTCTGCTGTTTCTTTAGAACCCCTCAATGGAATGAATTGCAACCACCATTTAATGCAAACCACCCTCTGCTCCTTGCTGCCGATGCAGTACAGTATTATCAGTTTCTGCTTGCTGGCTGTAAGTAGTTCAGACTTTTTTTCCTTTGTATGTTCTATTCAGATTTCATCTTAAAATACTGACTTTGAAAGCAGCCCTTACCACTGATCCATAGGCTGTAGGCCTTGAATAATCAGTCTAAGGCAAATAAGATATTTCATACAAATTTAAGCCCTAAGTCTTAGCATGTATTAACTATGTCTCTGACTACTTATATTCTGTACCCTTGAAATGTGTCCCTGCAGTGATAATAGATAAGTTGATGAGAGAATATCTGGTGGATTCAAAAACTTAAAAAACAAAAAGAAGAATGATAACATGAGAATACTAGGATATGATAAACAGTTATATAAAGCTTAGACTCTATTTCTAATATGAAAAAAACTTTGTATTTAAAGAAAAACCTGCTGGCATTTTTCACAGTGAAAAGTGCCACTATGAAAGCTCTGCCAGCATGTTTTTCTTTTTGTAGAATTATACTAGCAATAATGAAGTAATGATTTCAACTGCTATATTGGTCTTTTTGTTTGTTTACTTTCTTGTCTAAGCCTTGACGTTTGTAAAGATTGCACCAGGTTCATTGAACTAGATACAGTCTTTTTATATGGGAGGAATGCAAAGACAGTTTAATATTTATTATCCAGTTTGTGTTCATAGAATTAAAAATTCTTTGCAATTATAATTCAATTTTATAGAATAGACTGAATTCTTAATTTAGCTTGATGGCTCTGAGTACTGCATGTTTTTAAGAAAATTACTAAAAATCATCAGTGACATGTTTTTCATAGAGTTTTGTTGTATTCAACTTATTATCTTGACTGGTATATTATAAAGCATGAATTAAAAGAGTTGTAGAAGTATTTTATTTTATTTTTATAATGTGTTATATATTATACTGGAAACAAAAAAATTTTATAGACTTTGCTCTAATGTTATGAAACTCCGCAATTGTAATAAATAGTTGGCAGTGTTGCTGTCTCATATAGTTGAACTGACTGCTTCTTCTAGCACATTTTTTATTGAATGCCTATTATGTGTCAGGTGCTTGTGATTTAAAGATGAATAGTATATTGCTTCTGTTCTCAATGAATTCACAAGTTCAGGAGACATATATTTAATAAAAAAGTAAAATAAAATGGGATAGGTGTATCTGTTAGGATTGTACATTGAACTATGAGATCAATGACATAAGTTTCCAGAGGCATCACCGAAGGGTAAATGTAGTTGGTTTTCAGATTGATTGAAGAAGCAGAGTGTGTAGAAGTTGTTAGTTTCTAGGTCTTTAAAGCTTATATTTAATTATCAAATTGACTGGAAAAAAATGCATTTTCTACTACCTCTCCAAAGAAGCATAATTAAATAATTGTTGAATTAAATATAGTTGACTCTTTTAGAGTTAATGTTGGTTTTTGTTTTGTTGTTTTGATATCTATACAGTCTGTTTAATAGACAAACAATAACAAGTTTGAAATATGAAAACAGTAGTGGGAAAGTATATTACCATCTCTCTTAATTTTGCTCTGTTCCAAAGGTTAAGCTGATTGACATGACATTACACTTGATTTTTGCTGCCCTAAATACCTGTGTCCGATCTTAGAACAAAAAAATCCCTAGGTGCATAGTTTAAGAACCACCACTGTCGGCAGTAGCAAACCATTAAATATTTTCAAGCATAGAAGTACCAGCATCAGAATTGCATTTGAGAGAGATCGCTCTGGCAGTGTTGCAGCAGGAGGTTCAGAGGAAAGCAGTGGAGGCTTGGTGACCCTAGAGCAAGATGAGCCCTTTAGTTAAAGCTGTATGTAGAGTAGACAGAACAGACCTGTGAAGTATTGAAGAGTTAAAATAGCAAAGAATTAGAGACAGTTTGAAAGAAAGTAGTCGCTGATGATCCTATGGTGTCTAATTAATATATGGAAGGTTCTTGAATGTTTTCTTCAATATCTTTTCATTATAACACTGATAAGGGAAAAAACTTTCTGCCACTGCCCGTGTGGAGTTTACACATTCTCCTCCTGTCTGCATGAATGTCCTATGGGTATTCAGGGTTTTTTCTCACATACCAAAGATGTATACGTTAGGTTAATTGGCATGTCTAAATTGTGATTGTGTCCTAGTCTGTGTGTGTGTGTGTGTGTGTGTGTGTCCACCCTGTGATTTGACAACATCCTGTCCATGGTTGTTTCCCCCCTTGTACCCTGAGCTGCCAGAGTTGGCTGTGGCCACCCCCAACTCTGAATGAATAAATACAAATTATAAAATAAAACTTATTAAAATATGATATATTATACAAATGTATGACAATAAATGATACTATATGAAAGCACTCAGTGAGCCCACGATATTTGTTATTATTTGCTTTCGAACTTCATAGTGGTAGGAGTTTCTCTTTACAATTTTCACTTTGCAAACATTTATTCTTCGATTTAACTCACCATCACTTCATGTGCTATCACAGTGATTCACCAGAAATTGGGTGAATAATTGTATTGTTTTTATTAATCTTTCTTAGATGTATTTATAGTTCAAATTTGTTTCAATGTTTAATTTTAGAAGCAGTTTAGATCTAGACATTTGTTGATGTTTCTGTGACCAGAAATATGCCATAGGAACTTAACTCTTGTTTGTATCAATTAGCCCATAGTAAAATTGATTTCATTATACTTCATTTCTTTTAAAGTAGCAGTTTCTGAGAATCTATCAACAATGTAAGGACTTATCATCTGATGTATTTCATTTGGGATAAGAGGTTCTAGTTCTAAACCACCTCTCAATAACTGGATAAATATATACTATCAATTATAATACTTGCTTTTATAGAGGTATTATGACGATCATTGAAGTGCTGTTAAATTTCTTTTCAAAATTATAAAACAATATGTTCAGTTAAGCATTATTATTTGTCTTTGCTTTTTATCTCGGAAGTTCTCATTTTCATATGATAGACTTCTGAGACTTCAATACAATTTATAAAACATTTTTAGTATTCAGCATTAACAATGCAATACATAGTCTGACTTTTTGATTCTGGTTGTATTTTATTTATTTATTTATTTTGTGTGTGTGTGTGATGGAGTCTTACTCTGTTGCCCAGACTGGAGTGCAGCAGCATGCTCACGGCAACCGCAGCCTCGACCTGCTCAATCCTTTCGCCTCAGCCATCTCAATAGCTGAAACGACACCTGACTAAATTATTATTATTATTATTATTTGAGTTGGAGTCTCATTCTTGTCACCCAGTCTGGAGTGCAGTGGTGTGCTCACAGTTACTGCAGTCTTGACTTGCTGGGCTTAGGCAATCCTTCTACCTCAGCCTTCTAAGCTTCCAAGTAGCTGGAAATACAGATGCATACCACCATACCTGGCTAGTTTTTTTGTGATTTATTGTAGAGATGAGATCTCGCCAAGTTGCCCAACCTGCTCTCAACCTGCTGGACTTAGGCAATCCTTCTGCCTCAGCCTTTCAAGCTTTCAAGTAGCTAGAATTACAGACGTACACCACCATGCCTGGCTAGTTTTTTTGTGATTTATTGTAGAGACGAGGTCTTGCCAAGTTGCCCAAGCTGGTCTTGAAACCCTGGGCTCAGTCAGTCCTCTCACCTCGGCCTCCCAAATTGCTGGGATTACAGGCTTGAGCCACTGCACCTGGCCCTGCATATTATAATATCTTTTATCTAAGTGACAGGTGTAATTTTGCTTTCTCTTATCTTGTGAAATATAACTATAGACATAGTTTAATAGGTTAAAAAATCTGAGAGGTAATTCTGTAATCATTATTATAATGCTTCTTTACGTTAAGAGTAGAGATACAAATGAAGTCAAGTTTTCTTACATAAAGATAAGCTGTTTGATTGAGAGTGCTGGACATGCCAGTATGTTACATGACTAAAGCAATTAAATATATGAAACATGGACATTTGGGTCAGAGGAGTAAAAGCCTGAAATGCAACTGGTAAAAAGCAATACTGGCGCCAGTTTCAAGAAAATAGCAGACTTTATTATTCTCTCACTTTTTCTTCAATTTCCATTGCTGAAGCCATTTGGAAAGATATTGTACCTCTTAAAGCACAAGTATACCATACCTGATGCCAGGAAGTTTTTGTTTTCCTTAACCATATTGAAAATTACCTCATATTTCCCAACTTGAAGACTTTGATACATATTCTAAAAATATTTTCAAATACAGTCATTTCTCAGTATCTATGGAAAATTGGTTCCAGGACTCCTTCAGATGCCAAAATCCATGGATGCTCAAGTCCTTTACAGCGTATCATTTGCGTATGATCTACGTACATCCCCCTGTATACTTTAAGTCATCTCTGGGTTATATATAATATCTAATACAATTTGCATAGTTGTTATACTTTATTGTTTTGAAACAATGACAAGGAAAATGTCTGGATATATTCAGTACAGATGCAACCATTCTTTTTTCCGCCTAAATATTTTCAATCTGCAGTTGGTTGAACCTATAGATGCACAACCCATGGATATGGAAGACTGTATAACATTTTAGTGGAGCTTTAATACAAACATCACAAATGTTGCAAGCATCTTCTTTTGTTTTATTTGAATCTTTAGATCAAGTGAAGCAGACTTGTACAAACTCTGGAAATTATAATAATAGTAGATAAAGTATGATATAAATGAAAATGGGAAAGAGACTTTGTCCAGTGAGAAGAGAGTAGGAAAGCAGGATGTTTAGCAAGGAATCTCCACTCCCCTTTCAGCCTTGTAATCCTAATAAATACACTGCTAGTTGATAAACAAAGTTCTGTATATATGACTTGTGAGGAAGGGAGAGGGGAACCTGCCCAAACTGCTAAAGACTTCTTAAATATCCTTAATGTAAAGTAAGTAAAAATTCCAATTCCTGTATTCTTTTTTTTTCTTTGAGTTGGAGTTTCACTCCGTCGCCCAGACTAGAGTGCAGTGGCCGCTCCCGGCCACCGCAGCCTCGACCCACTGGGCTCTGGCGATCCTTCCACTTCAGCCTTCCGGGTAGCCGGAATTAC